AGGGGATCTCGTGCTTAACCTTTACACGCTTATGAGCTCACTCGACTACCTACCGCCCCTCAAAGAGTACGTTAAGCTTTTGGGGGAGTGACAATAAGAAACATCAAAAAGGTGAAAAAGCATACTACAGTATTACAATAATGCCATTGGCAATCCCCCATACAAAAGTACATGCATAGCCCACCCATGACACACACTTGGATGGCGCGGGTGGGCTATGCATGGTGGTTGGCACTTGATGGCGCGGCGAAGAGAACACTTGTTACACTGGGGCGGAATTATGTTAATCTTGAACATGGTCTTCTCTCATTAATCATGAAATATACTTGTATACAAGTTACTTTTTGCAGTTCATATCTAATACAATTGCCTTTCCTAGAAAAATCTTTTGAGCATGTACATAATAAACATTTATGTTAAGAATTGCATACAATCTCCATTCCAGTCACTTCCAGACAAATCCACATAATTCCCTCTAAATTTGTCCACCACATCCTCCAAGGATAATAAGCAGCCCAAAAAATGAAATTAATCAATTCCTTTATCTGTGCCTTGGAGAGGGGATACATCAGTAATTTCATTTTGATGTGGGACTTAAAGTTTCTTTATCAATATTGACTGTTTATTTGGCTGTCTGCCTTGTTTTTTTATTGTTATATATATTTATGTTGGTGAGCTGCCTTTTTCAGCTTAGCATGGACTGGTTTCCACCTTCCGAGGCTTCTCTCAAGCGCGCACATATCCAGAAACTGATTCATGAAATCCTTGATGATCAGTCTCAGAAAGCACCTTCAACTTTTTGTGGTGATGAGCATCAATCCTTCAAGTTCATCGAAAAAAATGACACTGAAAATACAATGGAATTTGTCACTGAGAAACACAGTCCAGCAAAGACATTTCATGGTAATTCATCTTGTTCCACTGCTGAACAAGGAATTGAAATCAAGTTGTTGGCTTCGCCATCTCTTGGTGGTGTTCAATGCAGCAAAGATTCAGGATTAGTTTTCAGGGAGTTGTTTGAGCCAGGAGCTATCTCTGGATCATATCCTGGTGGACAATATCGACCTCTTGATCAGATGGACGCTTTTCAGAGGTTCAAATCTTCTATGCCGTCAATAGAGGTATGTAGTATTTCTTAATATCACCAAAAATTTCTAGTTAATTGACTTATCTAGTCAACATTTGTGAGCATGACTGGCTTGACATTGTGAAAGAGGGGCAGAACACTATGAATGTGCAAGCTTCCCTTTCCCTATTTTAAAGAAAAAATAATGAATTCCTCATTGAAGTTTGGAGAAGAAGATTGCTGGATGCAGTCTTGTCCCATCAGAACTCCTGGCTGAGATATCCAGTACAGCTCAGTTTGGTTGCTTTTAATTAGTCCTGGTGCAAAAACAAAATAGCAGTGGTGTTACAGCTCACCGGCGAGTACCCTTCATGGAAATCCTAACCGCCGTCCAAGTTGTTGCTGTGCTTTTGAGACTCGTAAGTCATAAGCAGTGGTGCACCAAAAAGAGGTTCTGATTTACTGCCAAGCTCTGCATGCCAAGTGCACCACTGTGTCATAAGGTCCTTAGGGAAACCAGTTATTCATGCAGGCTCACACAGTGTGGCTAGCCAAATCACCTTGAGTAATCACAATGTTGACAGTCTTCTTACAAAAAGGCAGAGCTTTCAAATTCATCCTTAAATCTAGTGGCTCTGGCAACATATAACTCAGTTTTTATTAGCTTTACTTGGGTATACTGAGACAAGATTTTGATTTAACTTTTCCTGGGATTATGAAAAATATTTCCTTCTGTGTGAAGAGAAAAAAATCATAATATTTGATGAAGTATCTTTTAGGAAATTTAAATGACTGATATTTTTCCATTCCATTTTGGGTTTGGAAACAGGAGGATGCTGAAACTGGCAAACAGTTTATGTATGCACCATCAGGTGAAGCTTGTCACCCACTGGCAGGAATGACAAATGAAGCTTGTTCAACCTCATATTTCTCAAAAGATTTTGAAACATCAGAGACACTTTGGAACCCAAGAATCTGCATGGAATTGGATGAAGAGGAAGATGGAGGCTCATCCCCTGATTCTTCTGGTTGTGTATCACAATATTCATCAGAAATAGGTGTGGATGATGAGCATTGTCAAATTAGGGATTTTGTTGGTCTAAATCAGCCAGAGGGGACAGAAGTAGAGAGGCCAAGATCAGTCTCACCAGAAAACATTGGGTGTGTCACAGGAAGCCCAGGTTCAGACTCTAGTGGGAGGTTGGAGGCTTGTGTTGTTGAGGATGGGAGGTTGGAGGCTTGTGTTGTTGAGGATTCTCAAGAGGTGGTGGATAGAATGGATGATAGCTATGAGAGCAAAGGATCCCTCCCCTGCCAAGAAAATCCCCTTGACCCACCCCACCAAGAGGTTGCGTCAGCTGAACAACTGGGTTTCATAGGCAATGATGTTGAAACGAGTGCTGATGATTCAGATTCAAATGAAAAGCAATCTGCAAAAAGGCCTAGGCTCATGCTTCCCGTCGAAGAGGAACGGTGATGATCAAGTTACCTGTCTCGTTTAGCATTCATGATAAAAGTCCAAGGTTCCTTTGTTAATTGTTGGGGGTTTGGCATTCTAGATTTCTGGTGGGGTCATTGATATGCCGTCTTGTGAGTTATCTGGTGCGGCTCTATGTTGAGAAGGGTCGGAGGGAGTTAGTCATAAGATATTAAAATGGCTAATTAGGTTAAAAAAATAGACAGAAGCAGTTGCGTGTGTAGCATTTGCACTTTGAAGTTGTAGGGTGGGGGGGGGGTAATATTTCTTGTACAGTTTTATTCAGTGGGCCACTGTAATTTCGTCTTTTTACATACATTCCTTGAATATTGATCCAGTCACACTTTCGAGCCGGGGGCTACTTCTCTTTCGAATCAGCTGGGTGAACAGAGAGAGAGAGAGAGAGAGCCCTAGTGAGTAGTCACTGTCTCGGGCCTCTCGGCTGTCGAACGTGGACAGCCAAAGTTTTTTATCGATTCTGATAACTAAACTGGCCACCTGTCCCATGAAAGAACCAAGACTAAATCATTAAGGGGGTGTTCGACAGCAAAAACAAAACCAACCATGTGGTCGAGCGAGGGGCCTATATTGCAAAATTATGGCTGTACCGATTCTGCTATTAACGAATTAAACCAGGAGGCACATCATACGTTTATGTTTATGCTACCTGACGAGCAACATGCATGTCTACTCGTTGCTTTTCACCCCTCTGTTCCAATAACCAATTTAATAGAAAGTAGAAACTCAATCTGCGTTCAAAAGTGTTTTCATGGGTGAACAGTTTTTTGCTTTTTAGCTGACAGGACAAAAAATAGGCCTATGATAATAGTTGAGATGGTCACTTGCCTCTCTCCATGAAAGGAGGCACGGGATCAAATCCATATATAATTAAAGAGTCTGGATCTTCCACTCACAATGCTCCCAAAAGCTTACCGAGAAGACAAAGGTTTGGATCTGTTCCCAATGCACGGTTATAATGTCCTGTGGCTACGTGTGGGTAGCGTCTATTGGTAGGAGAGAAGATGAGTTGATCCAAGTTGAAGATTAGATTATTTGAGCTCAGCACGGAAGAAAAGCCCAATGCTCAGCACACTAGGTTATAAGATAAGATACAACTATTATACTACTTCTACTTGACCAGTAAGAAAGAGTTGTAAAAATAACTGAAACTCTTGTGTGTACCGTAACCCTCTCTTTGGCTACTGGCCATCCATTCCTAATCTAGAGAGAAGTTTATCAGTGTTATACTTAGTAGATGACTAGAAGACACTATGGGGGATTTGGGCACAAATTTTAAAGGAAAAATGGTGTCAAGAACTTTGGATGTTATGAACCTTAATCAATTGGTTATGATTGATGAAAAACAACCTCTTTATTCTATGCAAGGAAAAAAGTGGTGATTTGGTTGGTTACGCAAGCTATTCCTGCTTATTGAGTGATTAAAAATGGATTATAGCTAATAAGGGCAACTTTTGGGCCCTAATATCAATAAAAATAATGCTTTTAATATAATTTCTAAAATAGGTTAATTTAAAAAAATATATATATCAAAGGCAAAAACATTGTTCATCTTCTTCCTCCTACAAACCATCCATCAGCACCGCCGCCTCTGACAACCTCCAGCAACGCCTCCACCCACCACCGCTTCAGTCGTGCGAATCTCAATGACTATCATATCAATGCTGTCATTGCCACCTCTCCCTCTGCCCACCTCTGCCTCAGCTATGTGAATCTAAATGACTCATCCACCAATGTTGTCGTTGCTGCCTCTGCCTCCGCCCACCTTTGCCCCAGCCTTGCAAATCTCAATGACTACCATCCACTAGCATCATCGTCGTCGCTACCTCTACCTCTGCCCAGCTTCGTTAATGTCAATCAGACGACATGAGGTGGCCAGCAGCGTTGTCAAAGGTGGGCGAAGGCATTGCTAGAGGCGGCGTTGGAGGATGGTGGTCATTGAAGTTTGTAGGGGCTAGTGGTTTGGAAGAGGAAGAAGATGACTAGTGTTTTTGCCCTTATTTGATATATTTTTTAAAAAGTTAATCTATTTTAGAAATTATATTAAAAATAAATATTTTTATTGATATTAAGACCCAAAAGTTGCTCTTATCAGTTATAATCCCAACAAATCCCTGAAAAGACAATTAAGGAAATGGAAAAAACTCAGAGAGAGTTTTGGTGCAATGAGGGAGAAGGTAGGACTTAGGAGAAAATTGAAGTGAGCCAATTGGAAGAATATCTATCTATCTAGAACTATAGAAGGTTTATGATTAAAAAGAATGGGATCAATGAACAAAGCTCTAAATTAAAAATTAGCACGAAGGTTTATCAATGAAAAGAATAACCTTTGGGTCAAGTTGTTGGAAAGTAAATACCTTCCCAATTCCCATTGTGTTGTCAAGAAGAATTTCAACATTTTTTGATCTTCGAGTTATAGTTCAGTCCAAGGTTTTAAAAATCGACCTGGAAATGGAACCATTTTGATCATCGGTTTCTAGGTTAGTGGTTTGACCATCCAGGTCGAACAGTTCAGATGATTTGACCTATAGATGACTTAGTATATTAGGGTTCTATCTCTCTTTTATGAGAAAAGAGAGAGCTAGAGCTAGGTCGGTTGAGAAAAAAAGAAAGAAAGAAAGGAAAGAAAGGAATGAAGGAGGAAAGAAAAGTGATGTTGTCTGATCTGAGGTGTTCTAAATCGAGGACACAATCAGGTAATCTTGCCAACTGGATGAAGCCGAGGTGGAAGAATGAAGTCGCATACTAAGATCTGCAACCAGGAGAAAGGTCAAAGGCCCGAGGAGTTATTCCTTGGGTAGGTGCTTTGACGCTCAAGTCAATTCGGTAGAGAAAGAGGTGGTCGAGCTGAGCAGGTTGGAATAATGCTAGTCCGAGTCGAAGAGATAGTGTAGAGATATTCACAGAGTGTTCTTCCCAAAAATTAAAGGTCCCTTAATGTTTACAGGGTTGTTTGGATGAGGTCGTCTGTCGAGGTCTTCGAGAGGTTTCCTCTTCCTTGTCCATGTAGGACACTCCTTCTTAGTCATGCTCTTCCATTACACGTGGTACCGAAGTGGCTAGAGAGAGAGAGGATGGCCACGGAGATTGCTACGTGACATCCTTAGCTAGTTCAAACATCACCCTAACACCACTCGCCCAGTTTTGAAGTCGAGGAGTATTGTGCTTGGCTGCAACTAGATGTGGAAGAGCTTTGCGGTCCTCGGATGAGGAACTTTAATTTCTTTGAGTTGACTAGCTCAGAGTTAGACCGGTTTGTTGGGTGAACTGGTTGGTTCAACGTTAGTGTGATTTCCGAGGTTGGTAGGCAGAAGCGCTATTTCGTCTTCCTGAGCTCACGCGCATGCAAAGGGCGGCATCGAATCAGTGTCGTTGATCTGGTTTGATATGAACCGTTGGCTGCCTTTATAAAAAAAGGGATAGGCGAGCCACTTCACTTTGTCATTTGAGAAGAGTTTGTTTCTTGGAGTTCGGTTGAAGTCCCTTGCTTGATATCTCGGGTGTCCCAAACTTTTTTTCTTCGGTAAGATGTCTTTCTCTTCGTCTTCCTTGTCTTCCCTTTTCATTGGGTACACTTCGGGGGATGAGAGTGAGGGTAGTCCTCGGCATGAGGTAACCGATGTTAGGGCGCCAGAGATTGATGCCAATGTGGCCGAGGTCAATGACGAGGGCGGTGATGAGGTCAAGAAATCGGTGCCAATGAGGCGATTGAGGCCGATGTGGAGCCTAAGGAGCGGTTTGCCTCGGTTTCGTGTAGCCTTTCCTCGGCCAACCTGGCTTGGATCCGGCAAGTGTATCATATTCCCGAGGAGTATGAACTGAGGTGTCCTAGGATCAGGGAGAGGGCCGCTTCGGCTCGTCTTGGGGAAATTTGTGTATATGTCCACAATTTGATAGCTGCCCTTAGGTTCCCTTTAGATCCCAAGGTAGTGGCCATCCTGAGGTGGTATTAGGTTCTACATGTTCAGTTCATGCCGAACTCGTTTCAGTACCTAGTTGGTCTACTTTGCTACTACACTCTCAAGGGCATCAAGATCACCCTACCGATGTTTAGATATTTTCTCCACTAGAAGAAGCACAAGCAAGGGTACTACTACTTGTCGACCAGACCGAACACCAAAGTGCTTGTTGGGGCTCCCTCTTCCATTAAACACTATAAAGAGGGTTTTTTCTTTGTGAAGTGCTGAGGAGGTTGGTCGTTCTCCCTTGCCTTGTCTGTTCCGAGGACCAAGGATAAGGGTCCTTCCCAGACCGAACTATCGAAGGAGGAGCTAGCTGTTGTGAGGAGGATAGTGTATGTGCACATTTGGGAATACACATCATCCCGATTGTTGACCATGGACGGGCTGAGTGATGGGATCTACTATGAGCATCATGTGCGTGAGGATGGGTTGCGGAGTCAGATCCTTTGGATGGATGTGGTCATTCATGGCCAAACTGGGTCTCATGCCTATCTGTGTGGCACCCTTTTGGGTCTTCGGCACGAGGATCGACTATAGTAGGCGCCTGCGCGGCAGGGCATCTAGCTTGGGGAGGGTAAGCTGGTTGCCCCAACATCTCCATCATGGCTAGGATGCGGTCGACTTTTTGCTACATGGCTTGGAATTGCGTGGGGTCGACTACAACCTAATGTTGGGGATACCGAGGTGGAGAGTTGTGAAGTAAGCGGGATCTCCGAGATGGGGAACAAGATCTAGAGTGGTTGGATGTGTTTTTGGGTGTAATTGCTTTGAGTGCGTAGAAAGGTGTTTGGAAAATATCTTTTTGTACGTTTCCCACAAACGACGACAATCTGATGTTGTCTGATCTGAGGTGTTTTTAACCGCGGACACAATTGGATAATCCTGCCAACTGGATGAAGCCGATATGGAAGGATGAAGCTGCGCACTAGGATCTACAACCAGGAGAAAGGTCAAAAACCTGAGGAGTTATTCCCCAGGTAGGTACTTCGACGTTCAAGTTAGTTTGGTAGAGAAAGAGGTAGTCGGGCCGAATAGGTTGGAATAATGTTGGTCCGAGCCTAAGAGATAGTGTAGAGATATTCACAGTGTTCTTCCCAAAAATTAAAGATCCCATACCTATTTATAGTTGGGTATCCATGTCCTAGATGGATAGGGCTTCTAGGGTTGTTGGGATGAGGTTGTCTGTCAAGGTCTTCGGGAGGTTTCCTCTTCCCCGATGGAGTATGCTTCCTTGTCCATGTAGGGCACTCCTTAGTCGTACTCTTCCGTTACACATGGTTTCAACATGGCTAGAGAGAGGATGGCCGTTGAGATTGCCACGTGGCATCCTTACCCAACTCAACCATCACCCAAACAAAAAGAAAGAAAGAAA